TGAAGGAACTGGATAAGAGCTGTACCATTGTCTTAGGCCTAGGGCAAACGTCGAACTTTCCATGCACCGAACTTAATTACATCAAAGRATGCCGCCCCATTATCACCTGATATCCATTGTTTTTAATGAGTTCGGTGCCTGGAAAGCTCGACGTTWGCYCTAGGCCTAAATCTTTCGCTTACTGATGCTAGCCGCTGCTATCATGGTTTCAGCATTACGTATGCCGTCTGGTTTATCAAAAAACTGATTATAACGAACTACAGCTATTTCAAAAARGGTTGWAAACTGAATGCTGCATACTGYCTATTGAAGCYAAGCTAAGAAGGATAAAGGCAAGCGCGTTCAAATTAAATCAATAGTGAGTAGAATAGGCYTGTTTCACTTTGAAGCTTGCCCCCGTGTTAGTGATCACACTGTTTACAAAACATTACATATAAATGTATAATTATATACAGTATTCCAAACGCCCACAAGAAACACAAATTTCTTTCAGTATTTATGGGATTCGAGGGATTAGCCTTAGAAATCATGTATAGCCCAACAAAAGTATATAAGCCAATGACTAGACAAAGACATGTAACAAAAATAAACCGATGAGCATATTTAGTAAAAATATATGTGAAATAAACGAGACAAATGGCAAATTTAAGCCCGCCATGAACGAACAGCTCGCCCCTCAGCAGCACCATCTAACGTCCTTTAAATCTATCATGCATGTCTTAGTATAAATACACAGTTGATTATTGAAAATCTCGCGCGCTGATTGGTCGAGGAACTCACACTATCACACGATAATGACCTCCAGCGATAATCCAAAATGGCGGCCAGCCGCTTTGTTGCTGTTACCGGAAAAAAATGTGTCTTTTATCATCTTTTTTTTGGAAAGAATTATCTGTGTATTTATACAATTATTCACCTCAGGCTCAGTGAATATCGGGAATAATGACCTCATCTTCGTTTCGGTTATTATTCCCTGATATTCACTTTGCCTTGGCGAATGATTGTTAATTATTGCTTAATTGCTTAATTACTCCGACGAAGGACTAGCGTCCGAAACGTCAGTAAGTTTTTTCATCTTTTCACGGTCTAAAATTTACCCTTTTATCATTATTGTTTTAATAGAATGACCATATGTTAATAATCAACTAAGAATCTTTTCTAAATTCCCTATGTCTGGTTCCATCGATTTTCATTAATCTTGTCTTATTGAATATTAAAATTCTAATCTCATTGTTATTATAATAACGGCGTTCGTTTTTTCCCCTTACAGAATGCCCATTCATGCATAATGTTCTTCTTCTCGTCGTTGTTTCGTTATATTTTTTATCTAATTTTTGTGTTTTTTTTTTGTTTCGTTACCGGCATACGAATAAAGCCTCGCAATCAAGCCTGAAATTTATTTATAGAACATTCGGGCTATAGGTCACTAGCACTAAAGCGTCATTTACTACCAGTACCAGACTCCCACACACACTTTCTTTGGTTCAGTTAATTAGCAAATATTGTCTTACTATTCTCATGAGGAAATACGAATTTGAATGAGAAAGAAAATTCGCCAAGCATTTTGGTAGTGGTAGTAAAATGACGCCTTCATGCAGACGGCCTATTGCATTCAGTGTATAACAGTGCGTAAAGAATTCGAAACGATGTCTTTCAAACTGAAATTAGCCAGTCAGCGTTACCACCAGCAGCTCCCTGAGATAATGAAGTATTGTGCACGTGCTCTGATCAACGGAACACCTGGCCTGAGGGAAAGTTAGAATCACAATTGCATGACAATGAAGAACAGGTAAAATAAGTATTTTAAACTATGGGACTGGGACCTGGTTCTTTGAACTTGCAAAGCCATAAAAAGTCAATAAATCTTATAAATGTCAAAAAATGGATTTAATAATGAAATTGAGAACGGCAATCGACATTACAACGGACAACCCTATGTGAATCAGAAAAACTTGTCCCCAGTCTCAATCGTTTTGGCAAACAGAGTTGCAAGCAGATTGTATGACAAACATTTTGAACTCGTTATTACACAGGCAGCCCAGCTCTTTTTTAGAGCTGTATCACAAGATAGAATGGAACGTATTTTGTATAAAAATTTAAGAATAATTGAGATTTACTAGCCTTAGTTGACGTCTTCATTGGTTGTTGTTTTTTTAAATAAAGACACCTACTAAGGTTAGTGATTTTTTTAAGCGCTTTCACTACCAGAGAGCTTTGGCTGCCTGTTGTTGATTTTTTGCGTTCGGTGTGATATTTTGGGTAGAGCCCCGAAAGTCTATTAGGCCGTATTAAGACCCGTTTACACAGGCGATTTTTTCGGCGATATGCAGCGCCATTTCCACTGCGATTCTTGCAGAAAAAATCGCCGAAAAATTTGAAAATGTTCAAAATAGTGGCGATTCATCGGCGATGTGAATTTATAAAATCTAAATCGACGGTAGTTTACACGAGCGATTTATGATCGCACGTGAGTCGCCACAAGAATCGATGTGGAAATCGAGCTGCAAATCACCAAAAGAATCGCCTGTGTAAACGGGCCTTTAGGTCTCGTACACCATGAGCRGGGCAAGAGGTCTAACCGTTTTAGTATGAACCTACTGATATAGATCAAAGAAAGGAATACTAATAATGTATATATAATTTTAGTTGGAAATTATTTTTATATTTATCGAGTTTTGTTGTTGTTGTTTCTGTTGTTCTTGTTTTCAAAACGACTAATTTTCGCTTTTAGTGGTCTATCACTAATAGAACACTAGTGGCTTAGCCAATTAAAGCGAAGGATATGTGATAGACCATAAGTAGGTTTATACTAAATATATATATATATTATTAGTTCTGACTCGGAGAGAGTTGTATTATTCACCAGTAACAAAGAGAATCGTGAAAACGAGGGAATCTTAGATGAATATTCAAAATTCATTGTCAATCCTATTCAAATTTTTTCTTTTGTACTCAGCCAATAGCCTGTAAAAGGTTTTATCAACTTTTGTAGTTTCTGTTTTGCTTTTATTTATTTATTGATGGATTCTACGAAAATAAAGAATTTCGTCGATGCATATTACCGTTGCATTTACGATTCATTTACGATGACCCAAAAAACATTAGATTTTTCTGAAGTGATTTATACATTTATTTGAGTTTCGTGTGAGAGAGGTCATATTCAAATTATTAGGCGAGGCACAAACTCGAATTTGTAAACAAATCTTGTCATTGGCTGACGTTAGTTGGCTTAAACCAATCAGGAACGAGTATTAACATAAGCTTTTGTCCTCTGATTGACACCAGAGAACCGCTGAACAGCTAATATTGAATTGCAAATGTCGAGATTGGATTTAGCATGCGTAGAAACAATCGTGTAGATCTTTAAGCATTTGAAGAAGCTTATTTAGAGAAATATAAATGGTTTTGAAGCTTGCTAAACTCAATAAGAAATAATTGAGGCCCGACAAGAAGTATCTTGAATCGTGGACAGGTATTTACAGGGAGGCACCGAGGGAATATTTTGGCGTTCAGCGTGACATGTGTTGTGTTTGCTCACTGCTTCATTGGATCCTTTGAACTTGATAAATTCGTTGTAAAGATGGTTCATTGTCGTTGCACTCTTTCTAACCCAATAAAAAGTATCTGAAACAAGTTCCTTCATTCAGGACTCGACACGTTGGCAGTGTACGATATCTTCAAGCAAGCTCATCTTGTAGTAATTCTGTTATTATAATTGATGCGTTACGACGGCCAATCTATTTTGAAGGTGATTATGAGCTGCACCAAGAAAACTCAAGATGATGCTGTTTCCAGTGATGCGAAACTACAAGCTGAAATGATTCCCAGGTGCGTTATTCTTGATATATATTTGCATACTTCTCTTTGGAAGCGTTGTTGGTTAAATTATCGCTAAAATATTTACAGTAACCCTAGCTTACGACTCGAATCCCAGAACCAAGTGATTGCACATAAGCGGTATTATGTATAAATTTGTGCTGTAAAGGTTTTAGAATAATGTAAAATATATTTTAATRATAGTACTTTATAGGATATTCTAGTTAGTTAGTTAAGGAATAAAGAGGCATATTCTTATTTTGTATACGTAAGTTTTTGTTTTTGTAAGTGTCAGTAGTCGTCGAAGGGTAAACTACACGATATGTAAAGTATGTTTAACAATAAATTCTGACTCCAGTCTGTCCAATGGGGATCTGTTGTAGGCTATTCCAAAAAGCATTTCCTTATGTACAAACTGCATGGATTCCGAAACTTCAGTAGAACTAGACAAATCAACTACTCAGTGTTTGGCTGAGAGTCGATTGAGTTCCGTCAGCAATGTCGTTTTTTGTTTCTTGATATTTAAATATATATATATATATATGTATTAGCTCATTGTCTTTAAACAATTACAACAGTCAATTTTTTTCTTTATTAATGTATTTTTCTCCTTTAAATTACATAAAAATGTGCGATTTAATATGAGATATTTTCGTTTTCTAGAATAAAATAATTATTTGGCTGTGCGTTGGTTTTTTCATAAGATATCCTATAATTTATTGAGCATGCGTAGAAGTTATATCACGTGATTGTCGTGTGGAGCCTGGTAAAGTGTTGAGAGGCGTTTATTTTTGCTGGATAAATTAATAAAATTTCCGCGAATCATGGCTATTGTAAAACTGCACGCCGGAAAAGTGGATTTATGACTATTATAAATATGGCTTATTGAGTTTACAGAATGTTGACAGTGATAATGTGAAAATCGATACCGCGGTTGTCTCAATCCAGCCGGAAGTACCTTGACAAGAAAAACCGGAAATCATATCTATACATTTTATCGCCTWTCAGAATGAAAAATAGACTGCGAGCTAAGTCCCTCTATTTCTCTTGGTCACTGTCACTGTCCGTCTGTCTGTCCGTGTCGATTGGTCGAGGAAGATTGGTTACGAGTCAAAGCCCCCTCCCCAAGGGACCTTTTACTCGTAACCAATCTTCCTCGACCAATCGACACGGACAGACAGACGGACAGTGACCAAGAGAAATAGAGGGACTTAGCTCGCAGTCTAAATGAAAAATAAGTAAATTATATGCTTTGTTAAGGGCATATTTTTTTTTGGTCTTGTAAAAAGATGTTTTCTATTTTTTCAGTAAACATTTTACACGGTTAAGTTTTTGCCTTGGGCAGGCAAGTTTTGAATTTCTTACCTTTGATTTCGTTGTTTGTTTCAAGAGTATTTTTCTATAAAAAATATAATATAACCTTGAATCGAGCGCTATTTTTATCATAATAGTATAACTAAGAATTTTCGGTTTTTAGGAAGCAAATCATTTTGACAGTTAACTTTTGGTTTCTTAATATCTCAAAATATAATAATAATAATAATATTTTTCTGTCAAAAAAATAATATAACCTTGAATCGAACGCTATTTTTATCATGATAGTATAACTAAGAATTTTCGGTTTTTGGAAAACAAATCATTTTGACAGTTAACTTTTGGTTTCTTTATATCTCAAAATATAATGATAATAATAATGATAATCATACATTAATAATATTATTATTTTGGTTTTACTTATGCCTGACATTTATGCGTCTGACACTTAGAGCATTATGATTAACTCAAGGCATTATGGGATATTTATACGTAACAATCGTGATTTATGATTGGCGCGTGGTCGGTCATCAATCTTTTATTAGAGTAATGCGAATTATGGTGTTCAAAGTATTATTGGATATTTATACGTAACAATCATAATCTATGGATGACACATTATAGTTTTTTTAATACGTAAAAATCATATGTTATGTTTGACGCGTGGTCGTTCAGCAATCGTACTAGGCAATCATTCAACGTAAAAATTGATGAAGAGAGTTAATGCTCCCCGGGGCTTCTCCTAACCTTTTTTTTWAAAAAATATATGTATAACTCTCAATCACGCAATTATTTCTTTTCTTCTAGCAAAGAAACTTCAACTATGGAAACGATCAATAAAAGCAATGGCACCCTGCCAATCCCCATGATTCCAGAAGATGACATGGATGAAAGCGAAGAAGGATTTCCTCTTATTACGTCAGTATTTTCCCTGGCTTCCTCCGAATCGTCAGATTCCCAAAAATCACCGGGAAAAGAGTCAACGGAAATGACGTCACGAAAAGATTCGCCTCCTTCGGTAAGTCTTGCTACGGGTGGTTCTCCTACACGTAATGGGGGTAACGTTTCTCCTCGTCTCTTCAGACCGCTTGCTGCTAGTAAGCCAAAACCAGCCGTTGACAATAAAACAGGTCCAGATAGAAACAATGCTCCTTATTACGTGGGGAAAGGGAAATTGATTCTTCCAARACCAAAAATAGAAGACAATAAAACACAAGCCTCGTTGTCTCAATCGACTATGGCGTTTAGCCAGATTATGAGCTTCGGCCCTCAAAATAACAATACTATCAACAGTTCAACGACTACTGTGGGTAAGGAAGGCACTAGCCAAGCCCCTGTAATGATGACACGAAGCGCTGCTCATAAGATTAACTCTCAGCCAAATACCCAAGTAGGAAGCTCTGTTACTGGAATTGCAGCACCAGTGTACCAAACCCAATCTATCCCAGCAACCTCTACCAGTCAACCAAAAGTAGTGAACTTAGATAACACGGTTCAGTTCCTCAATGTTAAAAATGCACCAGGTCAGGCTACCTTTCCTGTACGCACACCAAATACCAGTTCTGAAAGTGCATTGTCGTCCTCGGTGTTAAGTTCAAGTTCACCGCTTGCAAAGTTAATAAAAAGCATTAGTCCAAACACTACGTTAACTAATGTCAGTCTAACTCCGACAACTACTGTTGCCAGCACGACGCACGCGCCAGTAGTAGTGACACCAGTTGTGTCAGCTCCTGGTAATTCTCAAATGTGGTCAGCACGACCTATAAACATTGCGCCTGCGCCAGTACAACAAATGGTTGCTTCAACACCTTCCGTCAACACCGGAAACGCTCCACGTTATGTTGTGGTATCAAAAACAGGAGTTTCTGCGTCTAATATTCCTGTTACTCAAGTAGTTTCTGCCAAGGGAGGAGGTGTGAACATACCAAAAGTTTTCATGGTGCCCAATACTGCGTCCACTCAAGGGGCTAAACCCGGAACACAGGTTTTATATCTATTTGAAAACCAGGGCGCGGGTGATGGGAAAACATATCGGATTTTAATTCCGGATCGAAAAGTGGCAGGACAACCCACTACCACTGTCCCTTCACAAAGTCCAGTTCCTATTATAACTTCAAATAATGGAAGCATTGTATCAAACACTCAGCTGGTGAGAATCATTCCAAAACCAGTAACGACAACCGTGGTGAATCAACAACCGAAAGTCCCTATAGTGACCCAAACAGCAAGTCCCACTGTGGTGAACTTGAATACAAAAAAGGCAGCAACAGTACTGAATGCTAGTAGTACTACAATAGCATCGACAAAGGTTTCTACACAAAAACCCACAGAGAAAGGTCCAACAGCTGAGAAGTCTTCTAGCGAGATACCGACATCAGCGCCGAGTCCTTCTGAAGATGCCGAGCCTAGTGTAGAGTCTATTGATACTGGGCTTAGCCCCCATGAGGCTAGAATTCAAAAACTGAAAGAACTGCTTAAGAAACAAGAAGAAGCCATTGATCGGTTGAAACAAAAGAGGCAAAAAGAAATCGACGATGTGAGAGCTCCGCCAGTCGAAAGCTCAAATTCCGAGGGTGCAACAAGCAAGAGGGACAGCCCATTTGCTGTTCCATTGCCACCTAAAAAGGCACGGTTAGACCAATACAGAAGCAAGCTGAGCGAAACGAACAGAACTGTCCAAGATGGATTTTTGCCCAATACTGATGATACCCAATTCGTTAAACTGGTCGGACTAGAGAAAGTCGTTGATAAACTTAAAGCGAAGAAGATGCAAGAACTTAAAGAAGTTCAAGCACTTAATTCTTTAGGCAACAACACGACTTCATGAAGATACGAAATTTTCAGGTGACGGATAATAGAAAAGGGAAGATCATTATTTGTCATGTAACATTAGACGGTGGGATTCAACAGAGACGCGCAACTTTAAGRCGCGAATACCCATTCGGTATGTTACGATTATTTGACTACCATGACCAAAATGCTTTGCTCGCTATCGATTTTCAGTGCTGTTCCTTTCCTTATGAGGGAACGAAAAAATAATAATAAGATAGTAAAGGGAGCATTTTGACAATTGGTAGTCATTATTAGATGATTTGACTTCGCAAGAAATGAATACCTTGTGAATTAAACGCTATGTGACGTCATTTGTATGAAATATGTCTTCCGCTTTGGAAAGTTTAGTGATATTACCTAAAAAAAAAAAAAAAAAAAAAAGCTAAAAGCCTAGATAACTGTAGAACTATCTGGGGCATTTCAATTTTCAATGGGGAACTCCCGCGATGTTTTGACTGTCCTCCGGTTGCCGGAATGGTTTTTGATCGAAACTCCGATAGGCGACTGACAACAATAGACAAGTCAGTTCCAATCAACAAACTGAATAGCTTACTGAATCAAGGCGTTTTGATTTCAATCCATAGTCAAGTGCCTTTGAAAAGTGTGTGTTTACGAAAATGTTATGAAACGCTTTTTTTTGTATGATTCTGAATCACTGTAATATCCGAGAACTCTAAATTTTATAGATTTATAGATAACTTTAAGCTTATATTCAAGCTATTTTTGGCATTTTAGCTATTATACTTTCACATCATAGGTATTGCTTATAAGTTTCTACCGGACCAGAAACCAGCACCCATGTTACTTGTCAGATGTTTTGACTAATTCATTTATCTTAACACGGTTACCTACCATTTTATCCTTTCCCCGTGCGCGTCGATTTCAATTCAAATGTAGCGCTTACAAAATTTGTACTTGTTAAAATATTTTGTCATAATTTTAAATTCTTACGATTTCATAGTGATGTAATCATATTTAATTGACTTCATCTTGACTGGAAATGGAATAAGTTAAGTCGGAAACAGTGTAACATATAAATTTTAATAAACAGGGTAGATAGTAGGTGTAATCTTCTTCTTTTAGTTGATGAAACATCATATTTAGTTTGCAGTATAACCATTGACTAGTACTCGTTGGATTGATGTTGTTCAGTGTTTCGTTGCGGGTGTCTTCCAAATTTTTCATTACGGTTACACGATGCAAGAAATGTTTTTTAGGATGTAGCTAAAGAGTGTAATAGCAGCGTGGTTTCAAGTCCAAAATTTTTTTTAGCATGGCATGTTGCACAAATCAGCTGCAATGAATACTCGTCGTATCATCTTGAAGCCGCTCATCAACCACAAACTCGGTCTCAGAAATTTAACGGTTAACGCTGTATATGTGCGCGAGCCAGTTGCTGACTATTTCTACATACCGGAAACAAAACAAGTTAGTCAATGGTTTGACGAAACTGTCAGTTCGTAAAATACGCTGATCAGGGTTGATCAAGTCCCGGCGGTGTATAACATCTAGCCCATGATGACACGCTGGCTAACCAATCAGAACGCGCGCTCATTTTTTATGCGAAAATTCATTCTGGTAGCTGTCACTTAATTGTCGTTTAGTTAACGCGATCATTCTGAGTGGAATTTGTTGGTCGACTGCAACAGCTACATGATTTCAGTTTTCTGCCAACGGCACCATAAATTAGAGGATCAAGACACGCTTTGATAACAACTGGATAGAATGTAAACACAGCAATACCATAAGGAAATGTTTTCTCCAATACAAACTCCGTCAGTAAAAATTGAATATGTTGTGGAAGCATACTGACAGCAAAAGTTGCTACCATGGCTACTATCACCATGACTACCCTTTGGTTTCTCTTTTTTCGAGGTGACTGAACTTCATGTGTTGAATCGGTCCGTCTTTCTATATCCAGCCTTGCTTTTTTCAGAAAGACCGAGAGCTTGGTGTAGTACATGACTATGAGGAAAAACGGAAGCAGGTATTGCGTGAATGTTAGCAACGAGTAATAAATCTTTCTCCTTACAATTTTTAGCTGTTTGTTTGTGCCAATTAAGCATCCTCGTGGAAGGAAGTCTTCAGTGAGTACCATAGGTAACACTTGGAAAATTGAAACCACCCAAATAGCAACAATAGTAAATGCTATCCTCTTGCCAGATGGCTTAGGACTGAAGGGGCAAGCTATCGCCCTGTGGTGCTGTATGGAAATGGCTGTCAGAGTATACACAATACCGTACTGGTATAAGATAGTCAAGCTAAAGATGACATGACAAGAGCTGGATATTCGAATCTTCATTAAAAATACCATTGGGGTGAGTGTTGACAGTATGAAGACGTTGACCAAACACAAATGGATCAGTAGCATCTCGTTCGTTTTGAGTTTCTTTTGGGTTTTAAAGGCATCCACGAGGACAAAAACGTTCCCTGTGATCCCAGCTATGAACGCAATTGAGTAGAATACTATTGAATAATCATCTACAGGTCTTCGGTAGGGTTCTGTTGCATTATCAAAAGAAGAAGTATTGCTTGGCAGAGATGCGTTGACAAATATCGACGAAGGCGTCGAATTTATTTTTTCAAGAGTTGCGGAGCCTCTTACATCGAGGATTGAAATTGTTGGCAGTGAATTCCAAAGTGCTTGAGTTTTCCTTGAAGTCTGGACCACTGTAGCGATGTTGAATGTCATTCCTAGAACTGATTCTGACAGTGACGTCGATTTCATTTGAAATCCTTGGTTGAACGATTCAGAAGGTGCAATCTCAACACTTTTGCTGTTCGATGCGGTTGTTAGTCTTGTTGAGACTGTTGCTCTTGTAGATGGAGAAAAGGCAGTGTCTTCAGCCAGCTTTGTCATCCAAGTTGCGGCTCCCATAATAGATTCTATCCCATTCATAGTTTATGTGTTCGCCAATAAGCGTTTTGTTTCTCTATATCGGTGTCCTGCTAAAATATTTTCAAAACGATCTGATGGCGCGGATACTGGACTTGGCTTCATTGCATCACTTGACCTTAGTGTTGATTTATGATACGATACTTTGTTTATAGAATCATCGCCAGTAAAGTTAGAGCCCGCGATAACCTGAGTAACGGCACGATTCCCAAAAAACAGGAAAGCATTTACCAATGCTATGAGGTACATTAACTTAGTAGCATCCATAACTGGCAAAGCGGTTCTGTAGTCGCGACAAGATTGAATGCTAGATTGATTTCCGATGAACTCGRCTGGGCACTTAATTTTGATTGCTGCCTTGACTTAACACGTGAAGTTAATCGTTTCCTTTTTCAATTACGTCTTCTAACACCGTGCAGTTTTTCGATATTTTTGACATCTGGAAATAATGAACAAGAATTACTTCTCGATTTTGTGATTGTTTTGAATAATCTCGTTCGT